CGGGGTGGCATCGAGAGTGATACCGCCTTCGTCATCGTCTAGATCAACGGCTGCCGTGCGTTCAGCGAGACTCGCCTCCTCACCATTGTCGTCATCCCAGCCCTGGAGGATATCAGGAGGCTCGGTGCCCGCCTTGCCTGTCGAGCTCCAAGACCATAGTTCATCGCCTGCCCAGTGGAACGTTGATACAGCCATACCCTTTGTACCCTGGACTTTGCCCAACGCGCTCACATCGATGACGCACTCGCCAACCGCCATGGGTACTGTCGGTGCCTCGAGGCTTGCAATGGCAACGATTGCGCCTTTGGTCGCTTTCTTGGGGAAAGGCGGGCCTCGTTGTAGGCCAGGCGTCATCAGGTCGGCGCCACCCTGCATCTTCTCGACCACGACGAGTGGCGTATAGAGCAATGGGACTATCCGTGGGTTGTGCCAGAGAGTATAGACGGTGGGGTACATTTTGTCACCAACCTTTGCCCACAACACTCTCTGCTCCCCGCTGGTGCCCTCATGGCTGCCTACGTATATCGTCCCCGACACCTGCTTGAGGTCTGGCCCCGCGGTTGTGGTGAAGCGCGCGGACAGGGCATTCTCGGGGAGCAGCGACTTGCGCAGTGCTGTGAGGCCGGCGGTTGACGAAGCTGCCTTATCGTCCGGGTTCGCGTCGGCATCTACGGGAATGTCTATGCCAAAGTCGGCGATGATCTGGTCGGCAGTCCTGCGGCGGTCGCTCGACTTGAGGGGGGAGAGGGGCTTGATCTAAGGGGCGTTAGTCAGTGCAGCGTATGTGCGAGATTGCAACCTACAGTGGGTTTCTTTTTGAACATGTTGGACGCGTATGCTTCTGCGGTAGTTGTTGGATGTCGTGGGCGAGTCTGAAGCTCTGCGCGCTGGCCGCAAACAATGTTTGACGCGGCGACTCTCTATGACTTCAGCGGGGCAGCTAGCGCGTTTCCCCAGCCTTGCCATGCCCTTGCCATGCGCCTCGAACGGCAGCATCACTATGAGTCGAACATCCTCATGCTGACTACGCAGTACTACCTTTGCAACAGACTTCGCCATATGTGCCGCTTTGTTTCTTCATGTCCTCGCCCTGGTCCATGAAATGAAAGTCTGTGTTGATGATGCAGCCTATGTCCACGGATGGCCCACAGACCCGGTCGTCACTTTAAACTTCTGTCTCCAGCTAGGCAGTTGTTGTAGCCGCCAACATAGCATTTGGGACCCGAAGCTACTTTTTCCATGGTTGGGCTTCTGATGACACCTGCGAAATTAACCACATCGCCTGGCGCGTGCTGGCCTCACCTGTCGATCCTGAAATCTAGAGGCTGTCTAGCCGGCAGTCGACCTTCTGCTGTACTTGGTAAGCCGGAAGGCGTCAGTGACGATAGCATGCAATGCCTCATTGTTTATAGACCATTGTCCCCTTTACGCCTGGTACTGCGTCAGCTGCATCGTCGGGACGCGTCCTCGCACCATAACAAGCTGTCCACAGCCTCCGGATAATCTCAGCTCACGTCGAGGACTCCATAGCCTTCTATCGCAAGCTGAAGCGCAATGTTTTCCCTCTTGCGGTGGGTACTGTTACGTTACAGAGCCGTCCTTTGCCTCATCTGAAACATTGTCCCATCTGAAACACACTCTCTGAGATACTGCCACACCGTCATCTACCATCTAGTCGCGCTGCTACCAAAGGTAGACAGCCTCGCACACGAAACACACACCAAAACCGCAAGGAGATGAACACCGTAGATAGACTTCGATCCCAGATTCCAGGACGCTGGCCCAGCCTGTTGGGTCCCATGTCGCTCACCCGCCGCAGCATCCATGCAGCTGGCAGCCATCGACATCGACGGTAGCCGCTTCCGGTCAAGGCGTGCTGAACTTCAAATTTTAGCCGTCCAGGCACCAGAACGCATGCGGCCGTTGCACGGTACACAGTTCCGTGCTGACATTGACCGCATCGGCAACAGCTGGTTCTCGCGCAAAAAGTGCGCATCCAATCCATGCCTCAGCATTCCATTGCGGCAGTCATGGTGCAAACACTGCAGACGTTCGTGGCGGCGGCGCGTCAGCGAAAGACATGCCGGCCCGGCCAATGGCTCTAGGCCTCGGTGCAAAGTCGACAACGGCTGGCTTATTCACAGCTTCACCAAACACCTCTTGGCCCGCGTGGTCCCAATTGCCGACTGGGCGCCACCGCCATGATTCAATCACACTATGCCTCCCTGAGGCAAAGCACCATTACGCATGGACTCGGCCCCCGGAGCCTCCAGGATGACCATCGTCCGTAAATGTCATGGCGAGATGCGGAGAACTGACGCGCCACGAGAAACGCCCAGCTGCGCCCGTTCGTTCTTGTACTCATTCCCCGTCTTTCCTCATAAACCCATCGTTGTCGCTCCCACTCACGCCTGCCATGGTAAAAGTGTTGAGATCGAATTTGAAGCTTTTCGCGTTGTGACATCACAGCACGCTTCCTCGGCATCTGCCCCGGCTTTCGGAACCGACCTTCGAAAATTCTGCCAACACCATGAGTCCCATACCCGACATCGAGCGCAAATGGAATGAGGGTGAGGTCGTACCCAAGCCCAGCAACCCGGAGGAACTCATTCTGGAAGCATGGGCGCAAGGTTATCTCGTGGGTTCGCTCATCATTATGGCGTTCATCACGTTGGCAAACATGAGGCGCGGCGTCCTGTTGCACAAGGTTAGTAAGAACCCTCTTTAAGCAGTGACCACCGCTGACAACCATCTAGTTAATTCTCCTTGAAGTGAGTCCACATTTACATATCTGCTTACATCCATACTAATCAAGTCCAGCTCATCCTTGGTATCTGGCAAGGATTCTGGTTATTTTTTCCCAGCCCAGTCCACGCCTGGTGGCTCTCCGTCGCCGCCATCTTCCTGAACGCCTCCTGGTCTCTGCACAATGTCATTGCATGGATGAAGATCAAGCCGTTCCTCTCAAAACCTGTCAGCTATATCTTCATCGGCACCGTAGTGCTTGTTCAACCGTACTGGGTCGTGGAGATATACGCCAACTTCGCCTACTTTCATGGCGTCAACAAGTTATTCCTGCACACACGACCGTATGAGGCGTTATGCCGCGATCCCTGGTGGATCCTCACCACCATCTACCTTTTCTGGGTCATCAAGACGCAATACGAACTGAGCCTCAAGGAGATCGTACGCATTTCGCCGCGTTTTGGTATCATGTTGTTGTCCATGTTACTCAGCATAATCTTCATCGTCCTGGACATTTCTACAGTCACCGAGGCTATCAAACTCCCAGGAGCCACGGGCATCAACCCCTTCTGGAAGTTCGCATTCGTATTCAAGTGCCTGACGGATTCCGTCGTTCTCGACGATTTCAAGGTGGCACTCGACCGCCTACGAGCTTTCCGGATCAGTCGACTAGGCAGCTTCTCGGGCGACCCGAGCGACAGCCGGAGTCGTAACGACAACAACCTCGTCGCCACCTGGGAAGAGATGGAAAGGGAAGCAAACGCGCTCCAGAACGTGCGCAGCCCAGACGGCGACTACATACATCCCAGCAACTTCCCACTGAAGCCAAAACGTGCGCGAAGGCCTCAGAAAGACTCCGTCATGTTCCCCAACCAGCCGGATTACCGAGACTCAAACGCTGGGCTGGATCCAGAAGATATCGTGCCCAGCATGTTGGGCGATGGCCCTACAGGAGCAGATGCACAACCCGTGCGAAAGAAACAACATCAGTTTATCGACGACATGGTCAACAGTAACAGCAGAGACATGGCGGCGGAGAAGGACTATGCCGAGGCGATGAGAGACATGCAGCGAGATAGTGTCTCAACACCCCGACGAACGAGCGAGTCTCCCCGTCGACCAACGCCGCCAGGCTGAGTGCACAATCGATTTTCGAACACTCAACACGATTCACAACGAACGATACATCAGTAATCACGAACAGGCAGGCGTTACTACGGTCGGCACATCTACGGACACATATACCCCTACCCATGCGATGCACGAGCACGCCTCATGCCCCATGCACGATCTATCCTTGCACACCTCAGGGTGGTTGTGCGCAGCGGACAGGCATGGCCCCACGAGAGGCCCCACGGGCTTGGGGTCTGGGGTAGTGATAGAAAGAAGCCTGGGGCTCGCTATTGCGGATTGAGTTAATGACGAGCGGCATACTGGAACAAAAGGCGTTTTTGTACATGCTGACAGGCATCGGGCCGAGTCGGCCCTCATTTATATACCCATTTGCGATTTTTACTTTGTTATGGTTGTGCTCTTGGATATGCAGGATGAATATACACATACATAAATCTACATGAGTGTTTACTACCTAGTGTCGAGCCATTATTTCCGTCTTACATAGTGTCGTCCTTCGCTGTTCTATGCTTCCTTAGGTGTAATCCACGTAAAACACTGTCGCTGATTCTTCTTCCAAATATGGACCGTGCTTCCACATGAGATCGCAACCATAGCTCTCCCCAGTCTTATGCACCTTGTACTTTGCGTACACGTGACCAATTTCGTTCGTAGTCACGTTCTTCGCGGTGAAGTAGGGTCTCCAGTCCATGTCTTTGGCAAATTGAGGCACTTTTGAACCGATCCTCTTTCCACAGCAATGTTCCAGAGCTGTGTGGATATGCTGGTCGGGAAGTAAACAAAACGACGTTTTCACGATTTTTGCCCCGTGTTTGCCCCATTTAATCTCAATCCTTACTGCGAACCCTTCCTGCTTTTCGTTGGAGAATATAAGGTAGAACATGTTGTTGTGTGGCACAAGTTCGACGAACCTGGAACTTAGCCCCCCGGAAAGGTAGTATTCCAATGCTGGTGGCCATAAGCTCGAGAACGAGTGCCCAGTCTCGGGAATGAACAAAATCGCCACTTTGTACTCAGGACCTTCGTAAACAGAAATTTGCGACCTGAATCGAACACGAGATAGGAGCCTTCCGAAGGTGGTGCTAGTGGTAATACTCTGAGTATCCTCGTGATAGCTAGAATTATGCGCGATGTATATCTGCTTGCTCTTGATGGCCTGATCTGTGCGTCGGGAAAGGTTTTTTGTTTGAATGGAAACGGGTGGGCATCTGCTGACTCTTATGAACAGGTTTCCACGCGAGATTTGCTGTAGAATAATGGCAATTCCTGCACGATCATACTTCACTTCTTCTTCTATGATGCCTAACCAGGTCTTGCTTCGTGCATCGACGAGGAACATGCGAAGCTCGATGTGCAAGCCACGTCCAGTGACAGTGGTATGTGTCCTTAGTATTCGCTGGTCGGGGAATTTGGACTCCTTTGGATAACCAAGGAACTGTACTGGTGATCTTGCAAGACATGACTGTTCATGCGTAAGAAGACAATTATATCCCCAAGTAAGAAGACTTATGTCATCGGAGCTGCTCAAAATAGCCTGTTGCAGCCGGATGAAAGCTTTTTTACCCTCGCCGTATAGCAGCGGCATGTTGATGTTCAGCAGACCGAGCAGGCAATATGCCTCGTCCTCAACACGAGTGGTGCTTCGCCTCGCCATCCATGAGAATACACACGCTGCCGATACGGGATTTTCGGTATGGACTAAGGGATGGAAGATATCTTTGTCGATGAAGGTAATATCGCTGAGTAGTTTGGCATAGTTTACCTTGATCATGTAGTCAGAGGTATCCTTCATGGAAAAAGAGATGGGCGTCCAATCAGTGTCGTAGAACTCGATTCGTCGGGGAGCAAGTAGTTCCTGTAGTGTCCAGCCTCTAGTAAACCATCGACTCTTTCGGAAGGCGGAACCCTGCGCGTAAACATCTGCTCCAGACGGCACGTCTCGCAGATACGCATAGCACACCTCAGAGTTCTCATACCAGCGATACATGGAGTTGATAGCCTCGGAAAGTTCTGCGCTGCTTGTCTTATCGATGCAGCATGTGTCGACCCATACCCATGAATGCTTATCCTTGTTCGCCTGCTGACAGCACCCTTCTATCTTGGCGTAGCCTTGCTTCTGCTGGTGCCCTTCTCTTGACAAATCTTCTAGTGAGACCTCATCTTTTCCCCAAGTATGCGAGAGGATGGCGTATGGAGGAATAGCGTCTCCAAAGAATTCCCACAGCTGCCGTGTGTTGACGTTGAGCAGTCGCATGGTTTGAATGTCGCCTGTACCGACAAGCCTGAGATCAGCTTTGACGTAACGTGTCTGTTTCGTGATCCAAATGGATCGTTGAACAGACGGAGGGAAGCCGCCGTATGACAGCTGGCTTATCGGAATGAATCGGTGTTTGAAGCAGAGATACGGTCATGAAGAGAATTGAGAAGTGAAGGCCAGGAAACTCTAGGGCTGAATTGTCAGCCTGGAGGAAAGCGTGCTTACTCCTTGCTGCATCGAGGCTGAGCCGCAGCCACATACGTCGCGCATCTTCAAGGCCCGCGACCGAAATGCAAGACTCAGGCTGATGGCTATCGGCGAAATGGAACTAGTATTCTGGGGATATCTCTAGGCGTGCGTCTATGAAATTCGTGGTCGTAAAGCGTCGTAGCGGTCCCGGCTCGGTGATATGCGCTGTACATGCTAAACACCTGTTGCCAAAAAGGCAGAGTTTAACTCGCTGAATTATACCGGCGATGTGGTGAGTATCCTCAAGTAGGTCAAAGTTGCGAATTGAGGATGCGGATCTGCGCAGCTATCCACATGTTCCTAAGTGCGGAACATTCCGAGCCTCGGCTCGCGATTAGGAAGGGCACCTGAACCCTCGCGAAGGGGCAGGGCGGCGTATGCTGACGCCGATTGTATAATAACGTGTCCCTTCCTTGCTGTCGCTCATTAGATCGATAGCCATCTTCTGGTATGGTCACAATGGCGCAGACGGCTAGCATCGTCGTTGCGGGCGCGTCAATGGCAGCACTCGTGTCGCAACCTACCATGAGAGGCAACCTGATGGCCACGCTGGCCAAATGGACAGGCTACAACGCGCCTGGTGGTCTATGGAGGATAGCTGCGATTCTTCTCGCATTTGCAAACCTCAAGAATCTGCCGTTTGTCTGGCATGTACGTATTTGGCGGAGCGGCAGGACACGCGACTTAGAGCTGACGATATTCATAGCTACGCTTCGTCCGCGCCTTGTTCTATCAACTGTACTTCCAACCGACCCCGATCCCTCCGCATGCGCTCTTCCAACCGATCATTACCTCGACGCGTACCACGTTCCTCGAGACAGATTACAATATGCACAAGTCCAACAGCACATACTTCAGTGACATGGACATATCCCGCACACATCTCTTCACCGCGCTCATTCGCAACGGTATAAGAAAGAATAGTCGTCTAGGAGGTGCCAAGAAGAGCGCTGTAGCAGGAGCAGTAGGTGCGACCGAAGGCACACGGGGCAAGCATTACATTGCGCTAGGAGGCATAAGCTGTCTGTTCAAGAAGGAGATTCTCCCATACAAGAAGTACGAGATGTGGACAAGACTTCTGTGCTGGGACAAGAAGTGGTTCTATCTCGTCACACACATGGTCAAGCCTGGCGTGGCACAACCAGAGAGCTGGACACTGCAGCCTTGGAAGAAGTCTAAACCAGCCAAGGACGTTGATCAAGAGAAGCTCAAGGGCGCGATATATGCTACTGCGATTGCAAAGTATGTCGTCAAGCGAGGCAGAATTACGGTGCCACCGGAGCATGTGCTGGTCGATGCCGATATGGTACCTGCAAAGCCAGAAGGCTGGGTCTACCAAGAGGCTACAACCGAAGAACAAGGGCCGAATGACGATGCCCTGCCCAAGGCTGTGGAGGCGAAGGACTGGAACTGGGACGTTATCGAGGCAGAGCGCTTAAGGGGCCTGAAGGTAGCCGAGCACTTTGCGGCTATGGATGGCATGCATGACTTCTTCGATGGTGGTAAGGAGGGAGTTTTGGGAGAGTTCGCGGATTTGCTGTACTGATTTGGGTTCGATGTGACTGGGCCTAGGAGAGCTTGATACCCTAGATTTGGATCTTAGAACCGCGAGGCTACTGCATCGCTGATCTTGTCTTGAATACAAACATTTAAAAATATCCTCTTGTGGGGTAATTATCTCACCCGCATTCACGAGGCACCTGGGCAGTGTCGCGGATAGCGGGCGCTAGCGGCGCGCTAAGCCACCGGTGTTCCTGCAGTGCCAGCCAACCTCGAGCCCTGCCTTTGACAATCACCGGTCACCACATGCGGTGGGGGCCGTATTTCACTCTGGTTCAGCCTTGTGGCTTCCAGCTTTCGATCTCTCCATGCGACTAACTATGTCCACTGACCAGCAGGGCACAGCTGCATTTTACACAATCCAAAGTTGCTTCGACTTGTTACAAGCAGTCCCGACCGGGCTCAGCCTAGCACCTACAACACTCACATCCAGCCCGCCGTTGACGTCCGGACTCGGTTTCCTCATCCAACCGGTGCTTCAGCAGTCATGGCCGCGACATCGGGCGTTGCCGCATATGGAGGAGGCCCTGATATGATCTATATCGGAGAGCTTTACGAAAGCATATCGCGTAGTCCCCCAGGCATAGAAGCCAGGAAGCTGCTTATCGAACATTACATCGCAGTCGGTAATGAATGGCTGGAAGGTGCATTAGATGAGGCCAAGAAGCTCCAGGCTTTAGTTCCCACAGACCTAGACGTTGTTAGGTTCTTAAAGATTCTCGAAAAAGTACCAGAGCCTCCAGCGCCCGAGAAGAAGGCAGTCAAGCGAATACAGGCATCTTCTGCCCAGACCGGAGGCGAACCCTTGAATAACTATCCATTCACGACGAAACCAATATCGAAACGTGGATCCAAGCGGTCGGAATTCTTCTTAGGCGATTCAGTAGATGACCTAAACGACGAACAGCGAAACCTGGTTACTGGGTATCGTGACATACGTGCCAAGGCAACACATGTGTTTGCGAATCTGCTGCGTTTACAGACCCTCCAGAAGAAGGCCGGTTTGCCTCAGTCGAAGAACCTCGCCAAAGTTCATCTCATGGCGGATGGAAGTAACGGGGCCGTCTACAGTGGAATGCGCCCACCAGCAAGTGCTCGTTCTGTGGCGCGAAACATCCGAGACAAACCAAAAGAGGCTACGAACCTGGCCATCGCAGATCTGGAAGCCATGATCGAATGGGTGCGCGCACCATATGGCACACCCTCAGGCGCAAGTATCGACGAAATTCGTGATACTCTGGTCAAACGCCGAAGAGCCATCGATTCGACGCTCCCTGATGCGCTCAAAGTTCATTGCGAGCTTGGCTTCATGCACGTCGAACATGAACATCTCGAAAGGAACTACATCAATGACGAGACCATGCTTGGAGATGAAGTCAAGGACATCGCCAGAGAGGACTTCTATGTGACCGAGGACAACTATGCGTGGTCGATGGATGGTATGTGACTTCCATGTACGGACTACGATGAGACCCATACTAACTTTGTGCCAACCTTAGAACTTGTTCAGGCTATCCAGGCAAATGGTGGTGTACTCCGCAATCCTCTTAGCAGAGAAATGTTTACTCCGAAAGATGTCAAGGGGATTCTCCTCCATCCAACAGGCAAGTCTCTCGCAGCTCTACGAGTTGAGCAGCACGAGATGTCCAAGGGCGTGCGGACGGAAACAATCATACAAATGGAGAAGCTCTCAGCGATCTTGCTAGCAGATCAAAGCAGCGATACGCTCCCCAGTCGCAAGGCAGTAGACGAGTTCCTCCTATACATTGCAACACGTAAGTCTTCCTTCGGCACAATTATGACCAACAGACTAATATATGAGCAGTACCAGATCTTGAGCAAAAAGCGATCGAAGGTCTCAAGTGTCCTGCCACAGACTCTCACACTGGACAGTCTTATGACTGGTCTATCGGTGAAGCAGTGAAGGATGGGAAAGGGAACCTTGTGTGTTTTCACAAGACAGGCGACTTCATTCGGCAAGCCGCTGCGCATCTACGGAAGAACCGTGGTGTCGCTCCTGACACCGACGAAGGTAATTGTTCGATCATGTGATATCTTGTAGCAGCTTCATGATCTCACATCGGGACTGTCCGTGCGTTTCGCATTAGCAGTCCATTGCGTTCTGGAGGTAACAATATGCATAAAGGTCGTCAGTGTTTGAAACAATGTCTGCCACCCTCAGGCACATTTGCGGCTGAATCAGGCTGGTTCCGGGCGCCGTAGTCACAAATCCTTAGATCACACAATCCTACAAGGCTTTTTCATACGCCGATTGCTCGATCAACTTTGCCAGATAGCTTTCGTTGACCATTCCTTACATTAGATTGCCATTTTCGTCGCTTCGCTTACCGCTGTCTCGTACCATGGTTAGCCTACACAGTCGCAATCGCACTAGCCGTTTCGGGGGCCGGTGAATGTGCTTTCCGTATAAGCCACCCTGTTCAGCCTTGTGCGCAGCCCCAAAGTCTCAGTCTCGTAAAAGGCCACCCATCACATGTGAGCTATACCAGACTAGCTATGTATCTTTGCCGTAACATCCATTATGGACCTCCAAGATTTGATGTTCCTCCTCCCTCATCAGGCGACGGTCTATTGGCCGCACCTCTTTCAACACTACCAACCCTATGCTACCCTGGGTCCCACTATCCTCGTGCGCTTCCAAGGAAAGCGCGATCCTGGTACAAATCCCCATTGTACCAAATTCAACCCCTGCAATTTGCTCGAAAGTTCTCGTGCTTTGTTGCCGGTAACCGATACCCACGATTCTCTTAATACCGACCGTTCGTAACGCGACTCGAACTAGCCGTTCCATCTGTATCCATTTCATCCTCTCACCCTTAGCGCAGGGTCATTCCTCATAAACGTATGACAAGCATGGCCACCGCCGTCATGCCTCCTACTGCAGTCGAACAGGATACCACCAAACGCTCTCATATGTCATGGGCCAAAAGAGCCATACCGTTGAAGAGCACGACGATCTTCAAGAAGACCGATCACAGTCAAGAATGGCATGCGGAGGTGGAGGCCACTGCTGGGGTACTACACCCCTCACACCGTCGATTCCCATGGGGCTTCATTCGCAATCACACCGATACCTATCTCAAGAAGAAAGGCAAGATCAGCCAAGAAGAGGCGGATAGGAGGCTTTCGATGTTGGTTCAGACACACCCGGCAAGAGATGTCACTAT